TGAATAATGAGGGACATGTTTAAATTTTCAGGATCTGAAAATAGTATTTTACTGACAACTAATGTTGAGACAACCTTAAAACTTCCCATGGTGCTCTGGTATCACCAGTTGCTATCAAAGAAACTGTGGTCTAGCTTGGTAATATTTAACAGCAGCTTTTCAGTAGCTAAGATGAGGAAGTTGTAAAGATAACCTAAGTACTTAAATATGAGTAAAACTTGTATTTACTACTCTCTTTTCAGCAATGATGTAGACATGGAAACAGATCACTACTCCAATGGGATTGCTGAGACTTCATCCAATGGCTTCCTAAATGGTAGTTCTAAACATGATCACGAAATGGAAGAATGTGACACAGAAATGGGTCTGCAGTGATATTTCTTACATTTTTATTAAGTGATGGCAACAAGGTTATGTTTTTACTTGCAATGCTTCCCAACTTGAAAATTAGGGTTACTAGCTCAAATCTTAATTTTTTGTTTGTTTTGCTATTACTAGATGTAAATTTTAAAACCACTGATTTAGGTGGTCCAGTATCAGTGTGAAAACAGGGGAAATGGGTAACTCATGCCTATTGAAATTAGCATTAATTTTTAAGGAAGTACCTTTGAGAAGAAACACCCAGTTGTGTAGCACCCTGTGTTTGAGTTGGGAAATTGCTTCTCCCTCTACCCATTCATGGTTCACATGGCATCTTTGTGCTCCACAGTAAGCGCAGAAATTCTAAATCTTTTTATATTGAAATGCAAAGTGCTAATATTTAATGCTTAAGAGCTTTATTAGGGAAATGTAAAAAAACGAAAAATTAACTTTTTTCCCATGCTTTCCACCAAAAAAATACCAATTTATATAGTTATGAGCTCAAAATTAACTTTGTTTTACTTAATTTGCTTTATACTCTGTCATGCCTGTTGATGTTGGTGACAAATGAGTATTTAAATCCCCTCTGCTTGCCCTTTGTGCAGCTGCAGAATTGGTACTCAAACAATTGATTTAAGCAGATGTCAGTTAATGTGTAGTTTAAATGAAATGTGAAACTGGAGACCTTCAGAATGCAGCAGCGCGTGCAGAGGCCTGTGAGCGCTTCCCAGTTCCGGGGCATGTGCTGCTGCTGCTGCTGATCCTGCAGCTTTGCTGGGAAGTGCAGTGGAACAGCAAATGTCATTCTGTTACAGCCCTGCAAGGAGAAATGCAAGTTGCCATTTTCCCTGCATTATGCTCTGAAACTGGATACTAACAAGACCTTATTTCTGTGACAGAAAACCCAGAACAGGTCCTCACTCTCTGGCAGCCTGTTCTGCAGAGACTTGCTGTGACAGACTTGCAGCAGCTGCACAGGGCACGGAGTTGTGCTTTTTGTAATGTAGTTGTCTCCTGCCTTTGGAAAGTCATGTCTTAGGTTAGGCTGAGCTAGAAACAAGCACCACTACTTGAAGACTTGTGGGTGCTTCACCTACACTGTTTACACCCAACCCTCCCCACCCAGGTTGCATCTGGTGGTTTTTTACTTTTTGAAATATTTATATATTCTCCTTAGTGCTGTGTATGTAAGGTTAATTAGGCAGGTATTTTCCAGAGGTGATACACTTATACCTAAGGGAAAAAAAAAAGTGGCCAGTTAAAAATCCTGTTTTGAAAGAGTAGTCAAAAATATATCACTAAATAGCAGTGTTAAAGTCAGAAAGAAGAGTGGATTTGTAATTGAAGAGTCTATCAAAGTGCTCATTTTAAAACTTGATTCCATTGATCAAAAAAGACAAGAAATGGTGGTTAAATGCCTTTTTCTTAATGCAGTGCTTTAGGTGTAAACTTTTAAAAAGCAGATTTTTCAAAGAAGGCAAGTGTTGGTTTACTATTCATAAGCTGCATCAATATCTTTTAACATCACTAGTATTGGGAATACTGTAGGAAACAGTAAAGAAATCAGTTGTAGTGTCCTGCTTGATTACAAAAGAAGCCTGAAATAGCCAAATTATTAAGATAATGTGTTCTGCAAGAAGTATGAACAGTCTAAATGATTGTCTTGTAGCAGTCCATCATGGCTGTTGAGGAAGTTTGGCATTTTTTTACACTTTATTAGTTCCCAATTCGGTGTATTTTCAGAAATGCAGTGCCAAAGAATTAAAAAAGTTAGAACTGTGTGGACTTTCATTGTTGTTTTTTAAACTCCCTTAAAATTTTAAGGTAAAATCTGGTTTGTCTTCTAGTTAGTTTAAAATTACCCCTTGCAAATAAACAGCACATGCTGTGACAGCCTTTGCCATTAGTGAACCAGATCTCTTAAATGTTCCTAAGGAGCAGTTCCCCAGTGTGTGGTGCAGGAGCACGTGGGGCCAGCGTCTGTGGCTGACCTGCTCCCTGGGCAGGCTGCTGTGTTTGAGTGAAATCAGTGCAGAGCCTGTAGATCCATAGGTTGTTACCCTCGGCTCTGCCAGTGCTGATGATGACCATATCATTTCTTTAGAAGTAGATTCAAGCCAGTTAAGACGCCAGCTATGTGGTGGCAGCCAAGCAGCCATTGAAAGGATGATCCATTTTGGAAGAGAATTGCAAGCAATGAGTGAGCAGCTAAGAAGAGAATGTGGCAAAAACACAGTGAATAAGAAAATGCTCAAGGTATGTTTAATCTTCTTGTAGAGGTGAATAACTGTGCTGCCCAGCAGGAACTTCCCACAGAACGTTGTGCTGGAATACTGTTCTGCTTTAACTTCTGCCATTTTTCACGTGTCTCAGAGCAGGTGTTCTGGTCAGCTGTGGTGTAGCACTGTCTTCTTTTCTGTCTGTGTAGCCCATGCTCAGGGAAGACAAACTTGTGCTGTTACACAGTTAAACACAGAAATTGATTTAGCACTTTCCTTTCTCTCATTTGTGACCATGTAACTTGACCTTTTTAATTGAAGTTCTGGTTTTGTCTTTTTGATCTTTTGTCAATGATAAATGAACCACAAGGGGGATTGGTAGAGATGCCTAAAATGTGCTGTCATTAGTACTGTGCATGTTAATTAGTTTGCCTTGATTTGAGACTGTTCTGGAAAAGAATTCTCCTGCCAAGGACAGCATGCAGTTTTCAGTCTGTTCTCTCTTACCCCCTCACATAGTAAAATAATGCTACCTTTTGCCTTGCTCTTGGGAAAAAACCATGAAATTGGAACAAGTCCTGTTACAGTTTCTTTTTATCTTTTTGTATTGATGGACACTGACAATCACCTTTGCGATTCTGAATCAAATTAGTTGTACAAAATATCCCTTCTTTTCACTACTAGCTTGTAGCTGTAGATGTAATAGAAGTCCTCTTCCCACAGGATGCATTCAGTTTGCTTGCATATTCCGATCCCTGGAGCAGCCCTGTTGGAAATCAGCTAGACCCCATACAAAGAGAACCGGTGTGCTCTGTGCTGAATAGTGCAATACTAGGTAAGTGTGGCCTGCCGGCTGCCCAGCAGACTCGGGGTGCTTCCCCCTGTCCCACACAGGTGGCCCTGCTGCTCCACCGTAAGGATAGCAGTGTTGGGTACACTCTTCTCGGAAGAGGGATAATTTTGGAGGGTGTGTGAGGTACTTGTCTGCTGTTGTAGTTCAGAGCAGAAATGGCCTGTTCAGGAGTGGTGCCGAGCGAGGTCACTTTGTTGCTCCGGCTTTGTGTCTTGCTCTAAGAGCCAACTCACAAATGAATGATTTAAGTAGTTTAAATGTCAAGTTTTCAGTGTATTATGAAACAATTCAGGTATTTTAACTGCCAATGTGATTCTTTTTCAGAGACTCACAATCTGCCAAAGCAACCCCCGCTTGCCCTCGCCATGGGACAGGCGTCACAGTGTCTAGGATTGATGGCCCGATCAGGAATTGGATCCTGTGCATTTGCCACAGTGGAAGACTACCTACACTAGCTATGCATTTTGAAGGTCTGAAAGGCATTTTAGCATATTCAACATGGAAAGTAGATCAGCTCTGCTGACTGGAATTTGGAATTTTAATTATGTACTAAGGACAAGTCTGTCGCTTTTATGTTGCTTCCTAGTTTACAGCATGATGCAAATGATTTCTAACTTAGTGTTAGGAGATTTCCATCTTTAAACCTCTTAGACAACTAAGAGTTTAAAATATCACTGGTAACGTCAGACATCCAAATTGACAAGTACCAATCCTTTGAACGATTGTCCAAAACAAACCAAAAATCCTGCTACCTTGTGGTGGGACGGAAGAATAGAAAACATGGATGTATTAGCATGTGGGTGATGTAAACGTCAAGCAGGATGACTTGCCAACCTCCACCCCATTGTTACATAGTTCAATCAGTGTAATTTGCAAAATGCAAATGGTTTGGATATATAGTGTTGATGGGAAGAAATGATATTTTTTAATGTGTACTGTAAAACTTGAATTACTCAGGAGCTGAGTAAATATGTTTGTTGCTACTTACAATCCCAACCTGTTGATTTTAGTAGTTTTTTGTTTTAACATGGTCTTTTCAACTTTGTTTCCTTGTTTAACTACAGACAGCTTCTGTTGTGTAGGCTCACCAGTTTAACTGTTGTATTATAACAGTATTACATGTCAACACAGTGTGGTTATGACCTATTTATATAAAAACCAAATATTTAGTCAATTTACAGTCTTAATTTAATCTTTGTACACCTTGCATTTTTAAAAGTGCTTAAATAGTACTATATTGCAATAAAATGTAGTGATATCATAATTAACCAGCCATTAAAAACTTACATCTACATCCACGGTAGCATGGACGTGTATGCTACATTGTCTTGTTCTAGAGCTCCATCCTAGAACAGCAGTTCTTGTGGAGACCTGTGAGGGGAGTGGCTTACCCCTTGAGCCAGGGCTTCCACTCCCTGTGGAAGCTGGGCTGGTCCAGGTCAAAGGCTTTGCCATGTTCTTGCCACACAGTGAGTCTAGCTAACAGTGCACGAAGCTTACTCAGGACTCCCTGCAGATGGGAATAATCCCTTACTGCTGGAAAGTAATGATGAGGCTGGAGAGAAGTGTCCTGCTGTGGGAGCTGATTTAATGATTCTGCTGTTAGGGTACAGCCTTTCCTTAGAGACACAAGTGACTGAAGCAGCAGGAATAACTGCCTGCTGTAAGGACTGCAGCATCCACAACAGTAGCTACAACACTGCTCACGTTTATTCTCTGCAAAGGCACTGCCTCACAGAGGCAGCTCAGCAAGCCTGGTCCTAGCACCAGCTGTTCCACAACACTGGCCTGGCTGCTCTGTAGCTTCCCCAAGAACTTCGGAAAGGGGAGAGGAGAGAACAGGGAAGTCCGATCAGGCACAGCTCAGTGCCTTCTGCTGGCTGGAGCTGAAAGTAAAGTCATGATGAAGTGGGGAAAAACACCTGTGCTGTGTTGAGATCAACTGTCACTAAAAGTCCTTAGCAGCATCTTCTGAAAAAGCTGTCTTCAGACTCCATCTTTAATCTGCGTTGCCAGCCAGCGTTTCTTAAACCTTGCTGCTTTTTCCTTTTTATCTTGCCCTTAAAAAAAAAAACCAACAGCTGTTAGTTACCATTTTTCTTAGCCCCCATGTGCTGAAGAAGCAGCAATCCCTTGGCTGCTGCAGCATTTCAGAACAGAACAAACTGATAAACTTCCTAAGGTAATTTATGTGCCCAGGTGCATTCCACTGGCCAGGAGTACCAGTTTGCACAGCCCCCTTAGGAGGGTGGGGAGGATACAGTGGATGTGATGGAGCACAGATGAAAGCAGGGCCTGCTTGCTAAGGATCAGTGACTTTTCCCTCTGGTGTTCGTGAACCTCACAGAATGTGTGGGTGTGAAACTGTCCCCATCCATTATGGAAATGAGGAGAAATGGGTGCTATTTCCCTGTGCTCACATAGAGGTTCTGGGATCTTGGTATCCCTGCTTTTAAGTCTGAGACACATCTGAAATGCCTTCCAACAGCACAGAGACTGGAGGCTGAAACAACAGCTACTGAAGTATTTATTTCACTGAGCAGCCCTGGCTCTAATACAAGAGCTGTCTCTTAACATACCAAAAATGAGGTAATTTTTTTCAACTTGTGTCTCATACACAATCCCTGGGAGTTGTGCTCATGACACCCACTGAGGCTGCAGTGCTCTGCTGCCCTTCCCTTACTCTCCAGGTGCTTGGAGTTAGAGGATCACAAGCCAGGATACTCTAGCATGGAAACCCTGATTTCATCCAAGTGTACTTTTAGCCAGATATGCAGAAAATAGTACCTACTCTGACTTTCTCTACTCACCCCAAGACTTGTCCACAAACTGAACGGCAGCTTTTTTGACGGGGGCTTTCTTGTTTGCAAGGGAAAAAAATTCATTTGCTGAAATGGAGACAAGTGTTAATAACCAAGCTGAAGCCAGACAAGGCCCCACCCAGAGCCAGGCGAGCAGCAGCGCTTACCCTGTACCCGGTTGGTGTGCGGCCCATAGAGCTGAGCATTTAGGAAGTCTTTGGCCAGCTGTTGGTGGAGGCCTGTTGCACTGTGGTCTTTCAAGCACACAGCCACGTAGTTCCCTTTTGTCCTAGTCAAAGAGAGATGTAAATCCCTGTAGCGTGGTTACACGATCCAAAACAACAGACACTGCTGTCAGGCTTTGCTACTTGAGCACAGCAGCAGCCACTGATGGTTTCTGATACTCAGATGAGCTTTGCAGCAGTATTAAAAAAATAAAAAGCTGGACCAATACTATCAAGCTGTTGTCATATGCCTTTGTGTGCCCTGAGCAGTTTCCTTGGGCGTCCTGAGCTCATCCTACCAGAAGCTAGGGCAATTACTCTCCAGGGTCATCAGTGACAATGAAATAAAGAGGAGAGAGAAAAAGAGATTGAAATGCAGGAAATCGGTGCTCAACCACCCCCCAACACAACGTGCACTGCTGCGCTTATGACTGCCCAGCTATCTCATAGCAGTTACATATTAAGTAATACATAAAAATTATTTCTATCGTGTATATATATATGTATGCACACACATATAAGTATGCTAAATCAGAAGACATCAAAGGTGCTTTTAGCACATAAATATGCTTTCAATCAGACGAAGGATGGGGGAACATAAAGTGCAGAAGAGGGTGCAGCCACGCAGTGACAGAGCAGAACTTCCCACACCAGGCAAAATCATCTCCTCCTACCTGGCACCCTTGCTCCTCTTGCCTTTCTTCTCCTGCACTTCTGCTTGGCCTTGCTCCAGCTGTACAGCCTCAGATTCAAGTTCTTCATCTAGAGGAACTTGTAAACGAAATTTCCCAAATGTTACAAATCAAAACCAGTCAGTGAAACATGAACAGGATTTAAAACAAGCAGCATTTTTCAGAAAAAATGACTAGGAAGAACAGCTGTAAGAGGGATGGAAAGAAATATGCTTAGGGGAGCAACCCAAAGTACTGCTAGCCAGCTTTCTCGGCATCAACAAAATGGGATTCATCACTGGACAAAAATTCAATGCAACACAACAGCTGTGGATAACCCATAAAGGGAAATCCAGCTCTGGCTGAAGTCTTGCTTCATTCTCAGCTCATCTCTTTGTTTTGTCAATACAACAGATCTTTTTTAAATAAAAGCAAGAAAAAGTTATACCGTACAGCAGCATGTGAGGTTTGGATGAGAGAACTGTTTAAATAAAATATTTTTTCTGAAATACTTTGAAGTACAGATGAAGCAAAACCAGCAGTCATAAACACTCTAGAGTCTTGGTTTTGTAATTCTGAGTCTAAAAAAAGTTACTTAATATCCTACTAAGATGCTATTATTAGGTTGATATGTAAAGTACAGAGGCAATTTAACAACTCTACCCAGGAATAGCCTTTATAACTTAAACAAAGGCTAAAAATTAATCCGCCTTTGGTAATCCTTGCTTTTTCTTCTGCAACACCTGCCCATGACTTCCTTAAACACTTCAGGCTATTTAACTGAAATCACTGCACAGCAAGAGACTTCTGTAAAAGGTATGAGAATTAGATTAAATCTGACTTTGTATTTTTCCTCAGATACTTATTTTCCTGGGGAAAAAACAATCTGCCAAATGTGTTCATGACTAGGACTTGGAGAAGGTCTCTCCACCAGAGCTCCCCCTTGGAGCTCAGGCACAGGAATGAACTCCTGGAGAACCAGATGTGCACCCCGTTAGCAAAGCAAGCGGTAACATACCTGGGTCATCTGCTGCAGCCTGCTCAGCGGGCCTGGGGGTCAAAGGGAAGGCAACAGGTTACTCTTCAATTCACACTGCCTTCCTTTACTCAAAGCCATGAAACCCCCATTTCCAGTACAGTCTCCCAAGCAAGGACCAGAAGGGGCTGCCCGACGGGGAGATACAGAGAAGGGATCCCAACACCCACCGCTGCCTCCCCTGGTCCCCTCACCGTGCGGACACAGCCTGCAGCTCCTGCAGCTCTTGCAGCACGGCCTCGGGCAGCAGCCTGCGCTTCTGTGGGGGAGAGGGGAGTCAGGCGGGCACGGACACGCGGGGCCGGCACACACACCCGGGGCCCGCCGCGGGTAGCGCGGTACCTTCTGCTCCGCGAACAGCTCCTGGTGCCGCCGCCGCTTCTCCTTCAGAAGCTCCCGGTGCCTGCGGGGAGGCGGGAGCCACTGTCAGCATTCCATGGGGAGAGAGAGGGGATTACGAGCAGGGATAAAAGGGGTCAACGAGGGCTTGGAGGGGCTTGGAAGGGCTTAGAAGGGCAAAGGAGGTGATGAGGAGGAGCAAGTGGGGGGATAAGGGAGAGGGGATAGGAAAAGTGAAAGGGGCATAGAGGGGTGAAGGGGGGGAAGGGGTTAGAGGAGGGATAAGGAAGGAGAAGGGGCCGGGGTGGCATAAGAGGGGTGGTGGCGTAAGAAGGGAGATAAGGGGTGGGGGGAGGGGGGAGGAGGAAGGAGGCAACAAGGGAAAATAAGCAGAGATAAGGGAGGGAATAAGGGGAGGAAAAGAGAGCACGAGGCGTGAACGGGGGGTAAAAGGGGATCTAAGAGGGGTGGAAGGGGGTTTAGAGAGGTAAGCGAGGGGTGAAGGGGGCGGTAAGAGGGGTGAAAGGGGAGATGAGCGGGGCTAAGCGAACGAGGTAAGAGGAGGGAAGCGCTGCCGTGAGAGCCGCCGTTCGGGAGCAGGAGGCCCCGCCGTGTCCGCACCTCCGAGCCGCCTCTCCCACGAGCTTCCGCTCGGCCTCGGCCGCCTCCCTCGCCACGCCGAAGGACACCTCCTCCGGAGCCTCGTCCTCCGAGGAGGAGGCCGGGCTGGGGAGGGCGGCGGGAGCCCTGCGCTTGCCCGCGGCCGCCGCCTTCACCTTCTGCCGGCGCGCCATGGCCGCGACCCCTGCGCCGCCCGCCCCGGAACTGCTCCCGCCTTCCGCCGGGGAATGCCGAGCGCCGGGACAGCCGCCCTGCGCCTCCCGCCCCGCCCCGCCCCGCGCGGTGCGCGCACAGACACAGGACATCGGAGGTGGCCCCGCCGCCCCGCCTTTATTGCCGTGGGGACGAGTCCCGCCGCCGCCTCCGGCCCGCCCGCCCCACGCTGGGCCCCGCCGGCCCGGGCCGCTCCCGGCACTCCGGCGGTGATCCCAGGGCTCCGGAGGTGATCCCAGGATTCAGGAGATGATCTCCGTCTCGTGTCGCGCCAGCGCCGGCGGCAGCGTGGTCCCGCAGGGGCCCGGGAAGTGGAACCTGAAAGGAAGTGGCAGGCTTAGGGCGCGGGCAGCCACCGGCGCATCCCGCTGCTTTACCTGGCGAGTCTGGGAACGGGAGGGAGGGAGGAAACAGGAGGAGAGAAGGGTTTAGGCCTTGTGGGGCGTAGGGACATACTACAGCCTCACCCTTTAAATAATACGGTTTGTGTCTTCAGTGAAAATTCCACCACGGAAGAAGAATCCTCTTTTCTTACTTATAAACAGAAACTTAATATCTCATAAGCGCTGGGGGGAAAACTAGACTGTATTTGTCTAAACCCAGCGCTCTGGCAGCTGGACCAAAGCAGGGCAGGAAAGAGGGGACTGAAGGCTGTTGCCTGAGCAGCGTTACCTGAACCTGTTGGTGGCAGGAGTGGTTTCCATGTTGAACTCCGCAACCGGGACTCCTCTGGCCGAGACCTGCGGGGCGAACATGGCCGCAGGATACACCACGGACGAGGTCCCGACCTGCAGGCAATGGGACACAAGTCACAAGAATAGTAGGACAGCACTCACACAGAGGAAACCAACCCAGCCCCGAGGTGAGGAGGGCCCTTCTCACAACTGCATGTGCACTGAAGCCTAGGAGATCCCTACAGAAATGAAACTGAATCAGTATCTGATTAGTGCCACAGATGTCACTATTTAAATTAGCATTAACAGGAATTGTTTCTCTGATGCAACCCGAAGAAATCCATTTGTAACTGTAGATGAAAAAAAAATCCCAGAAACAAAATGGCACACTTTGTCTTGAACGAAAAATAAAAACCCAACAGAACGTTCCTTCTGTTACTTAAGATCAGTTTGTAAATGGAAGACAACAGTCTAAGCAACTGCTTTGGTTAGGGATCTGGAACCTACATGGCATGTAAACCACCTTGCAAAAAAGCAGCACATTATAACTTACTTCCTTTTCAAACTGAGCATCAAAATAACTGTATTTTTTACTGTTTGAGAAATTAGAATGACAGAATGGTTTGTATTGGAAGACACCTTAAACATCATCTAGCTCCAGCCCCCCTGTCATGGGCAGGGACTCCTTTCACTAGCCCAGGTTGCTCACAGCCCCATCCAGCCTGGCCTTGAATGCTTCCAGGGATGGGGCACCCACTCTGGGCAACTTGTTCCACTGCCTCCCCACCCTCACAGTAAATAATTTCTTCCTATATATAATCTAAAGCCACTGTCTTTCACTTAAAAGCCATCACCCCTTGTTCCTGATGAAGAGTCCCTCTCTGGTGTCCTTGCAGGCCTCTTTCAGTACTGCGGCTCTAAGGTCTCCCGAGAGCCTTCCCTTCTCCAGGCTGAACAGTCCCACTTTCTCTTCATAGGGAAGGTGTTCCAGTACCCTTACCAACTTTGTGGCTCTCTGGACTTGCTCCAACAGTTCCATGTCCTTATGCTGAGGGCACCAGAACTGTCCACAGTATTCCAGAGCAGAGTAGAGGGGGAGTGAAATTCAACAGCCAAACAGCATTGTCTAATCTCTAACCCCTGTGTACTTGTTGACTTCTGAGTAGTCTGTGTGCATTTTCAAACAGAATGGTCTTTTAATGTTTTGCACTGGATACCAGAGAGTCCTTCTGGGGCTTTTAGTTCCCTCAGGGAAGCACAGATGCATCTGCTTTACCCAGAAGTTGCCATGTCCCTAGCATGGCCTCCCTGCGGGTTCAGAGCACCAGTAAGGAAAGCGCCACTCACGACCAAACAGAGGTCACAGATATCCAGCTCCTTCTCCACCGCCGTGAGCACGCCGGGATCCAGGGCTTCGCCGAACCACACGACGTGTGGCCGCAGGAGCCCCTTGCAGCCGTCCTCCTCACACCTGCCCGAACAGCACAAAGGGACAGCGTCACGCTGCATGAGGCTGCAGAGCAGCAAAGCAGATCTCATCCTCGCCTGGGCAGGTCTTACCTGCCATCATCCTCGCTCCTCCTCCACAGCCCTCCCCACACCCTCCTCTACCATGTGCTGGACAGAAGGCAGCTCATTCCATGCTACACGTGTGCTGGAAGTACACATGTGCTGCATGCTCCCAAGGAAGGGGGTGCTGAACAGTTGTTCAGCGCAGATCTTAATTGTGTCCTCCCCTTACTCAGCTCCTGAAGTGCATGAAAGTTAAAACTTAGCCTCCTTTAACAAACTAGCTTACAGGGTTTTAAGGAGAAAATGACCCAAAAGACAGAAGCATTTTGTTAGCCTCTTTTTCCTTAGGAATCAGATGAAAAATGTGGTGGCTTTTTCCATCTGCAACTAGCTAAGGCAAAGCTTCAGGCTGCATAAAAAAGCATCATGGCACATTCTGTGCCTGTGAGGGGACCCCAGCACAGAATTCCAGAAAAACAGTGGCACCTGCAAAGTAACAAAACATTTACTGCTGTAGCATTCACTTTCTTGCTGCAATTCTCCTACTACTTCACTTACTACAAACCCCAGGAATTTGGCCACGTTTCATCTTGGTGCTCAAGTACGCAAAGGGTGATGCCTTTAGCACCACGGTAACTTCTACACACTCCTTTGTCTGATGCCCCTGTAACTTTAGACTCAGTTTCCTGGGGCACAGTTCCAGAGTTCTTTGTCTCCTGGGGAATGTTCTTCCAAAACAACATGAACAGTAACATGAAGCTCTGAGATGCACAAAGCACGAAGAGGTAACAGCCCAACAAAGTGGTCCATACGTACTGAGGAAGGTCTTCAACTGGAATGGCAGCATCTTCTGTGCCAGGATCTGGAGCCCTGTAGTTACAAAATGGAAATACATGTCCAGCTGCACAAAAGGTATTTTATATATTATTAAAAACTTAACATTCTCTAAAAACCTTCCTATTCTCTAAAGCACACCCTCCAATCAAAGAATCTGCAACTTCAGCCAACTTGAACACCTACTACAATCCTAAAATACCATACATGAGGCAGGCAGGAATTTGTCCAGAATTATCCTGAGGCTGAGCAACTGTAATAAGGTGGCCAAGACTGTCAAAGGCACAACAATTATTTACGTAACTATCTAAATGTCTGGTGGAATGTAAAGGGGAAAAAAGTCCTAAAAAATCTTGAGTATATGCCTGGCCCATCCCCCTGCTCACTTCCTTTTTTAATGGTGAAAGAAAGAATGGATTACCCCTTCCCAGCCAACGCGGGGCAGATCGGGCTCTTGTAATTCGCAGCTACATTTCCACAGCTGGTGCACCGAGTTTTAAATAAACTACCTGGAACACACGAAAAGGAAACATCAGGGATGAAGCAATGGCTCTGAGGCATGGCTGTGCAGGCAGGTGGTTGTGTTTATCCTGGGCACCTTGAATGCTGCACCTTGTCCTTACAACAGGAACACAACAGCAAAGACAGTCCCACTGTGCCACCTTGTTCTGTCTTAGGACATGAGTAATACACAGTCCCATAACATATTTTGCAGGAAAATCATAATTTAAAATATCACAGAGGGAGATGATTTCTGTTTATTGCTTTTCCTCTTACATCAAAAACATTTTCTTAAAAAAAATAAAATATGCTGGTCAACACCATTTTGCTTGATGCCAAACTCCACTCCCAAAACTTCTGTAGTATTACTAACATGCTGTCGAGATGTGCAATATATCCAAGAGCTAAAAACTGTGTCCATTTTGTAAGGAATAAAAATAACCAAAATTAAAATTGCCAAGGCTTCATCACTGGGCCCACAACTGCAGAATAGCTTGTGCAGGTTTCCTGTGTCCAAAGCAAAAAAGTGGTGGTGGGAAATCCCATTTACACCTTTAGTGATACTTGAGTTAAAAAGCATCACAGTGCTGGAGGACCAGGATGGGTCTTTGTCCTGGGAGACTTCTACCCTGTGGAAGGGCCTGAGGAGTGGAGAAATGAGTGGGGTCACCTCCAAAGGACTTCCACATCCTCTTTTTCCTCCACACCTGTACATTTCCTCAGATCCCAAACCTGACCTCCAGGTGCTGCACCTGCCATGTGCTCCTCTGGCACTTTGTGGGAGTAAGGAATGCCACTGACTACGGGGAAGAGAGGGGGAAGGCCACTGGCTGCAAGAAAGAAAGGTAAGGGAATCTCAATTGTTTCCAGTCCCTTTGTCCTCCTGTAGCCAAGAACTGCACAAGTGAGAACAGGACAGAGGAAAAGCACCAGGGCTGGTGAGTCCAGGCTTGCCAATACACCCTTTATTAGCAGCAGTCTGACATCACCACTACTACACAGTGGAATCACTGAGGATTCTCGTCCCCTTTTCTAAGAGAAATCAGCCAGGTGTCACAGCCACATGAATTCAAGTGGATCTGCGGAAAACTGTGCAAGCGAGGAGGGAACCATTTCTTTTGTGCTGTCAGAATCCATTAAAAACAGAAAGATGAGATTCTGTGATCCTAAAGGTGAGCAATGAAGACAGGCTACGAAGTACCTGAAATAACTTCCAAAAGAGAACAGGGTGTTATTGTAAATAAACATATGCAAATTATTGTAATTTTAAAGACAAAAATCTTTTCTCTCTCTACTAATCCTGCTTTCCCTTCTTCCCACTCCCCACTCCAGGTTTCCTGGCCTGTGACAGACACGTGAGCCAACTCCTACCATGAATTTCTAAGAGGTGCCTGGTGCCTGCCTTTCTGTGCAGCTCATCAATGTTCTGAGTGATGACCACAACGCTCCTTCCTTGCTTGCTGAGACGCTTCTCACACTCTGCAATGGCAATGTGGGCTGGATTGGGATGTTTGCTCAGCATCACTTCCCGCCGGTAGTGGTAGAATTCCCACACACGGGAAGGGTTTCGC